AGAAAGCAATTGAGGAACTTGAGAAAAGCATCAATGTGGCAGAAGCAACATGTCCAGGGATCACAGATAAGATGGTGAAGAAACTTATGGAGAAATTTCAGAAGTAAGTAGTTTAGTGATTTGGGAAAGATACAGTGGTTTAAACCTTTAGCTTTGTCTGTTTGAGACTAACAGTAACAATTACTGTGTCTGGTCTACAGTAAGACCGTAAGACAGCTGTCTTACTGCAGCTTTACTGTGCTTGCTATACCTCTCTTCCTTTAATTTAGCATTCAGGTTTGTCTTCAGCATATTTGCAGGTAAAGAGGGAGACAGAGAACCTTTTTCTTACCTCTKTCAGGAATGTTTTCTTGAGAATGTCACTTCTGGTGGGTTTTTCCTTTGAGCTGTTGAGATGAGAGCACAGTAGTTCACTGATGCAGAAATATTTATGTGCTGTTTGCCTAGCTGAAACAATATAATTAACAAAATTTTTTACTTATATTTTTTATCTGTAGATTTTCTGTTAATGACTCATCCTAAGAAACTTCACACAATTGACTGCTGTTTCGTATGGACCCAGTGAAACCCACCAAAACTACTTCAAGCTTGGCAGTGCTTAGCTCATGAGCTCCTTGTGCCTTTTGGATCTTTGCAACATATTGATGGTGATTGAGGATTTGAAAGAACCTACTCAACTATTTTGTGGCAGTGCACATGGTTTTATATTTTCAGGAAATTATTTTGTAAAGAACAACTTTTAATATTGTAGTTTCACCTGTTTAATCGGATAAATGTTGAGGTGCAGTTTTGCTTTTAGAAATAACCATTACTTTAGTTAATAGAATGTGCAAGTACAGTATGTTTTGATGCTGTTTTGTTCCTGTACATGGGGTTGTACAGGTCTTTTATATTAATGAGTTAAACTTTTGTAAATCACTAACAAGCTTCAGAGAAAATAGCTTTTTCACAAGCGTATTCAAAACATGTAATGTAGTGGCAAGGGTATTGCTGTAGCACCTGCTTCAACCAGCATTTAGTTATCGTGCCCTAAAAAAACAAACCTGCAACAGTATCTATTTTAATTCTAAATTGGTACAGTATTTTAGGCAGCTCTATGATTAAATATATTTGAGAGCAATATGTCAATAGTTTGCAGGTGATATGTAGCAACAGGTCTATCCTGATGTACAGTCTGTGTATTACCTTTTAGAACAGGTTTTGAAGTAGTAACTCAATCTTACATCATCATGGTAGGAAAATTTAGAGCAATACAGTTGAGGGGGTGGGGCTTTTGGCAATAATGGACAAAACCTGAAGTCCAATTTAACTTAATTTAATTTTTTTTCCTCTGAGTATACATGCCTGGGTGGAAGGGAGCCAGAGAAGCCGAGCGTCGCATGTTACATACCTCACACGCAGGTATCGGTGTAACACCAGCGTTCTGTGTGGTGGTGTTATTTCTCCTGTAAGATATTTATACACCTTTTCTGTTCTGAAATTAAATACAGTACATCAACATAATTTGTTTATAATTTTCTGAAAGTGTATTTTAAATATGTATTTACCAGTTAATATGCAAATAACTGAGTTATAGATATTCTTTCACAAAAAGGTAGATCTGTGCAGTACAGAGTGACTTTTTTCATAAAAAGTAGGTAAGACTATAAAGTTGCTTTCAGTTATATATTTATGGTACTGCTAGATGGGTAATMTCTTCTGTTGTTTTGTTTTGATTTGTTTTTTTTTTCCCTTTTTCAACCCAGTATGTATATTATGCTGAAGTTTTGAACTGGGATTGTTTTTCAGTACTTAGTTGTGGAACTGTTGGTGTAAATTTATTTTTGATAAAGGCTGGGTGTGTTTATTGTATGGTTCAGACCTGCACATTTTGTTTTTGCACAAAAGTCATTTTAAAGAATCTGAAATATATCTGCCAAATATTGAAAAAGTAATGGTGTGCAAGTAAATACTGCATTTTTCGTCAAATGTTGCCATTACATCGTTTTTATATAAAGGACACTCGTGAGAGATGGTGGTTAGATATGCCAAGGACAATTATTTTCAATGGTGCCTACACTGTAAAAAAATTACTTTTAACTCCTTGTTTTAATTTTAAAAAAAATGTTTCTGTTTAAAACTTTCATCTGCTATATAACTGAAATTCAATTAGAATTTATATCTGAGAAAAAAGTCTGGAAATAGTTTTTGAAAACAATAATGTTATGGATTAAATAAATATTTTTATAAATGTAAAAGCAGCAAAAGTTGTAAATACAGTTGATCTGAAGCTTTACAAAATAACTGCATCACAGAAACAAATTGTAGTGCTCCTCTAGCTTCTGTAGTTGTTAGTCTTGTAAATCTGTTTATAGATGAAGCTTATTTCAATGTTTTGGGGGGTTTTAAATGGTTTAAAAATAAATATTTAAGTTCCGTAAAACTTTCATGARCTTGTTCTGTCGTACATCATTTTATTCTGGATTTCAGCAGCTGTGCAGAGGTGTGGACGTGTCGTGTTCTGAGCAGGGTGTTCCTGTGTGCTCCTGGGTGCTTTGCCAAGCTCTGGGTGCCCCACACTGTCCTTGTGCAGAGGACACCTGGCAGCTGCCACACCCCAGGGACTGGCTGGAGCAGCCTTGGGGCTCCGTTTGGTTCCTTTTTTCCAGAGGGGACACTCCGGGCTGTGTGAGTCACACAGAGTGTCCATGTCCAGCAGCAATGGACCCAGCTCTGACTGCCTATGGCCTCAGCGTGGGCCAGCAAAGGGACACAAAGGGGACAGTGACACAGCTCCCTCGGCTTTCACCTCCACAGCCTCAGCACAAATCGCATTTTTAGGAGCTCCATATAAATTTTTCAGAATTARAAATGTCACTTCCCTTAAGGTGTTCTTTTTCTGAGGGAAGAGCTGATGGGAATTCCTCCTRAATTTTGTAACTGGTGTCTCTACCCTGTGGGCATAGGATCTTTAATCTATGCAATTCTGTGAACARTTCTGGGTAGGTGGGATTAGTGACACAAGAAATTGGAAGCTGAYGTGTTTGAGATACAACTGTAACAACTGCTGAACTCTGGTGCCTCTTCCTGTGAACTGGATGGGATATATGCCTACCTCGTGGGACTGTGGGGAAAACAGACAGGTGTACAAAACAGAGTCATTCTCTTAGAGCACAGTCCATTCAAGAAGGGTTTTTGTTATGCTGCATATGCCTGAAGTCTCTTTGCATTGTAAGACTATCACTAGCCCCTAAGAATGGATGTCWGTATTGCTGGTTCCAGAGAAGAGCTGTCTTTTTCCCACATGTGTTAGTTATTGATGAACTRTGTAACTTAATCAGCAGTATTCTGTTGCTTCCAGCTAATGGAAAAATAGATCAAAATATTCATGCAGGAGCCGTTGACTTGCTCGTTTGGTTTGCCAGGCTTCCCAGTGTTGAGAAGAATTGCTGCTGAAGTAATCAAAGTAGTGTGAATTGCAGAATAGAGAAGTGTATTTGTTACTGCCTAAATCAGTCTTTTATCAGTGTAACCATTCTTTAAGCCCTGGGTCTCTGAGCCCTTTACTTGTTCCTCTGCAGTCCGTGCAGCATCATAACACCTGCTCTTGCCTTGGAATGCTGGCAGCTAAATAGGAGAGTGTGTAGGTTTTAATGTGTTTGCACAAAGTTTAGTGATTGTTAARAGTCTGATTTTTATCACACTGTTTTATGACTTAACACTGGAATAAAATTATTTCCCTCTTTGCAAAGTTTTAGTGGTATGTATGTTGGCTTATTTCAGAGCTTTATCTATTTTGTCTAAACCTTTTATCTGTTTTATATGTACCAGTTACTTCAATRTCAATGCAAACTGAGTAGCTTAATGTTTTCACACTGTGATGCTGCTGTGCCTCCTCCCCTTCAATAATCCTGCTTTGTGTAAGGACTGTAACAGTTTACATTTTCCAGGTACTGCTGTTCRTTTCCCACCACCAGCAAACCAAATTTTTCCATGTCCTCTCTCCAGCCTTGCATTCTTCCAGGGAAGCACAATTGCTTAAATAGATGTCCTTATCTCAGGGGTGAATAGGGCTGAGCAGGGACCGAGGGGAAGGACTTAGTCAAGAGTTGTTTCTATTGTTCCTTGACAAGTGAGCTGCTGCTTACTGGGATTGTTCCTTCATTTTAGTCAGTCCCAGGAAAGTGTCTTACGCAATGAATTCAGCTCGRAGATGTTAATTTGTGTCTCTTACTGACGAGCTGCTTTGTTCCTCTGCTATTGTTGACCATGTGTAGGATGTGCTGAGGCACAGTGCCCACATTGTGCCCCAGTGCTCCCTAGTCCATGGAAAAATCCAAAAATAGTTCCCAAGTCCTTGTTTCTCACTCTCAATGCTGTTTTCCCAGCATAGTCTTGAAGAGCAGAGCTGGCAGCTCCCGGAGATTTGAGCAGGGTGTTTGTACAATGATCCCTCCTGGTGGAACTGTGTCTGCTCTGAGACGTGCTCAAGGTAAACCTGACCTGGGTCACCCCTCAGCTAACAGGAATTGTGGATGTGTCTCTGTGCAGCCTGTGTTTGAAACGCTGCTGCTCTTTTAATCGTCCTTCTAATTGTGCCCAGACTGCCATTCTTAAATGTTGTACTGAGTGGTGATTCTTGCTTTTTCCAAAGTGCAGAGCTTTGGGAATGGGGAAGAAATAATTCTCTAACCAGAAAGATGATCCATTTTTTCAACAGGATGTGTGCCAGAGCAGCCAGAGGGATCACTGCAGTTCACAGCTTCAGCACACGGTAAGCAGGAGCAGAAGCAAACCTTACARTGTGCTCGCTTGTTGGGCTAATGCATTTCTTTGGGCAACCAACCAAGAATGTGGCTGTTTTCAGCAGTGTTCAGGGACCTCCACAAGTCTCCCCAGTTGCTGGGACAGTGAAGGCACAGAGGGAGCCAGGAAGCAAAGCAGGAGAGAGACATGAGCTCCTTGGAGCTGGGAGACGCAGGGCAAGGTGTGCAGATTTCACAGAAGGAGGAACTCAAAACTCCAATGTGAACAACTTTTTTATTGTCCACTTTCTAAAACCAAGTACAGCAACACGCAGAGTGAGCAGGACCCATAAGCCCAGTTATTTTTAAATTCTAACCTTTTTTTTTTTTTTTGTCTCAGCTTCCTTGTTTCTGAAATCCTCCTGGCAGGCTGCAGTGGTTTCTCCACGGTCGATTTTCTGGGCTACATGTCCTACAAAGACTTACAGAGTTGTTCTTAAAGAAAATTATCAAGAGCCTCCCCTAAAATCGTACAGAGGTATYATCATTCTCAAGATTTCTGCCTGGATTTCACATAGGTTTAGGGTAATAGTAAGTTTTCGTAATAAAAATACTTCCCAGAAGCTGCCTGTTCCTTTCCTACCTGTTTCTGATATCTTTTCTCCCCCATGCTGCTTAACTGAGGACTGATTTGGGGAAGCAAAAGGGCCTGAAACACCCTTCTCTCCAGTGTGCTTCCCTGCAGCTGGGAAAAGCAGCAGCTGAAASTATTCTGTGAAAAGTCTCTTCTCCCTCCCCCTGAATGAAGAGCTCTAAGCATCAGCCTGGGCAGGACAGAAGGTCTAAGCAGGGCTTTAGGAAATCCCTGGCCTCTGTGGCTGAAGGAAGAATACTCCCCTCAAAGTCTGGCAGAGACACACCAGGTTCTAAGCATGGTGCAGGGGTTGAATACCTCTGAACGCAGCCCTGATGTCCATTAACACATCCTCTGTAGCTAAGAGTGCTCACACAAGTCCCATCAATGTTTCATAAGCTGTAAGCAGACCTGCAAACCAACAGTGTCACCATTCTTTGACCCCGGGTCAGCACCGGCCAGCTGGGCTCCCTCAGGCCAGCGTCAGGCACCTAGGTGAAATACTTGGAGGCCTCTCTGGAGCTCCTCTGTTCAGCAGCGCTGGTGGCAAAGGACACCTCCTCATCCTCCTCATCCAGCTGGAGGCTGCCGGAGGAGAGCCGCACGCGGGCCATGGGCGAGCGCAGCACGCGGCCGTACAGGGAGCAGTGGTCAGCAGCCAGCAGGTCCGAATCTGAGTCRCTGGACTCGGTGCTGCTGCCCAGGTAGCGCTCGCTGGAGCGCCGTGGCCCCAGAGCCAGCCCTTGCTGGGCTGGGACGTGCCAAAAAACGCCCCCTTTCCTGCTGCTCAGAGCAGGGCACGGCCCCAGCGGCCTGAACTCGGAGCCGTAGGGGAAGCGGATGGTTTTCATGTCCGACTGGCTCCAAGACCGCTTGGGAGGCTGCTCCTGGAGGCCGAAATGGAAGGAGCGAGCCACTGACCTGTTCTCCCCCACCATGCTCGTGGCCACTGCAGCCTCCCGCTGGAATTGCCCAGCCTGGGTCCCACTGGGGCTCTGCCCTGGGTGTTTGGCTGCCATGGAACCATCTGTGCCGGCCACTCCTGCCGTGTCCTCGCCAGGGGCCGGGGCAGGGCACAGGGACTGCGGGGCCTTGTCCTGGTAGAAGAGCACCGGGGCCACCACGGGCAGGGGACAGGGCACGTCCATGTACACCAGTGGCCGGGCGCTCACCTCCCGCATGTTGCCCACAGAGGGGCTTTTGCTGTTCCCAGYGAACTGGTGGTGGGGCCGAAAGGACGTCAGCGGGTTCCTGGCTCCAAAGAGGTCAAGGGGCTCCCACGCCCGCTCCATCTCCAGCTCAGCGTAGAGCAGGGGGAAGGCAGACGAGCTTTTGGAGTGGGGCAGGAAGGTGGGGGATGCCTCGGGCTTGGAGCGCTCCAGCTCAGCGGCGAAGGTCACCTCCAGCGTGGAGCTGCGGCACTGGCTGTCCAGGGTGGGCTCGGAGCCGTGCACCCCGTTGGCGTGGTAGGAGCCCCGGCTGCCGTAGGCCAGGCGCAGCTCCTCCACCTGGGCAGGGACAGGGTGGGGTGGGTGCCCTGAGCGGAGCTGAGGGTCTGGCTCTGCCTCCAGCTGGGGCTGCAGTGCCAACCCTGGGCACAGAACCATTGCTGATGCCAGGGGGACTCACCTGCTTGGACACATCTGTCAGCAGGTCCGGGGACGAGCGGCACTGCCTCTCATCGTAGCGGGATGCATAGTGCTTCCTGTGGGACACGAGCACAGGTGGGTGTATAGCCAGGAGGGCCTTTCCCCTCTCCCCCATCCCCTTGGGCACTGCCCCCTGCCATGCCCCCCGTACCTCTCGAAGGGCAGACTCTTCATCTTCGCCTTCCTCCCGTGCTCCAGCAGCTGYCGCTGAGTCCTCCCGCTGCAGYGGGGAAGGAGAAGRGTGAGYGGYRCCATCAGCCCAGCCCTGGGCAGGCYCCGTGYCCCAGAGGAGGGAATSCTGCAGGACTGGGCAGGCACCTCTCCAGGAGGAGTAGCTGCTGTCAGCCCCTTGGATTCAGCCAGGGCTGACATAAAGGCGAGGCTCAGAGCCATCCCCAGCCCCAGCAGTCTGGTTTTTCCCCAGGAGTTTACCTGTAGCGGAAGCTGGAGCCTTTGCTGCACAGAAGGGCTTTGGGCTTGGACTTGGGCTCTTCAGAGAGCCTGAAGAAGGCGTGGTACTCCACACACGTCTTCCAGAAGGCCTTGCAGGTGTCCCGGCTCGCCATCGTGAACTCCAGCGTGTCCTTGCACAGCTCCTGTGGGCCAGAGACAAGCGAGCCCCTATCAGAGGCACAGGACGAGCTCTGCCATCCGCCCTCCTCATCCCCCAAGGGTCACTGGGCTGCCAGTGGCTCCAGGCGGTGCACTGTCACCTCACTGGGGTCACGGGAGAAGCACGTGCCACACTCAGAGGGAAGGAGCACCACCCATGAGCAGCAGGAATGGATTTCATTCAAAATTGGGGACTCCGTGTCCAATCTCAAGTTTGGGAAAGGTTTGAGCTGCARGTCACGTGACCAGGGAGGAGCCTGTGTGAYTGACATGGCCCTGCCTCCTGTGTCAGATTGTGATTGGTTAACAGAGMCATAGACCCCACCCAACCAGAGATGTGATTGGATAAGAAGGTTYRTGGGYGGTGACCCTGCAGAGCAAACAGCCAATRGGTGCTMAGCCCGGGAACATTGAAAGTATAAAGAGGCSCAGCTTTTGGAGGATGAAGGATTTCTTTGAMCCAGCTGGAAGAGGTYCRTGTCCTCTGTCCCCTCATTGTCACAGCTGACCTTCCATCCACAGCTGTCTGCTCCTGAGCCCAGCAGSTGCCTCTGGTTTTGTACTTACAGAGATGTTTGCATGGAGCTTGATGAGAAAATGCTTCCTCTTGAAACTCARTTTGCGAATTTTGGACCAGTTGAAGGTGTTGATCTTTGTATTGCCCTGCAAGGACRAACACAGCGGTTACAGTGGGGTGGGGCAACCTGTAAATACAGAAATGCAGTGAGCCAAGGCCTGAGGTCACAGGACACTGCATCAGACTCCAATGCACCTCTTGGAGCTGCTGGGGTCTGGGGAAAGGGTGCTGGGATTTGGGGTTTGACTGCCCTCTCCATCAGCTGGTTCTGCAAGCAGAAATTGAGGTTCAAGGCTTAACTCCGCCTGCTGAAGCTCTCTGCAAAAGTCCAGGATCCCAAGACAAACCTCAGAGAGGTCAARGCACRGAGTGCTACCTGTCCCAGCTCAAAYGTCACAGGAGYTAATGCAGAATGAGCCTCCCAAAGGAATAAAACCATCCCTCCTCTGCTGGGAAGTGCAGCAGTGCTCWGCTCACCCCCACACCTGTAGACCTGGTTTAAGCAGGCTGCAAACACACTTTACCCCATTATCATTTTGCACCAGGTTAGATGCAGCCACACAAACTGGAGCTGTGAGACAAAACCAGGAAAAACTGTGTTACTGCACTCTGTGGCACCAGGACCCTCTCAGCTTTCTGGGAGAACCCGTATTTAATGGGCTCGCAGATGCTCTAATCATGCGTGAGGGGTGTTTATGGCTCTGAATAAATAACCAGGTCTGGTAGCACTAATTACAAACAGCAGACCCACAGCTAGGTTTAACGTTGGTTGTATTTTTTTTTTTTTTCCAGCAGTGACAAGATGCTCCCAGGTTGAAATCAGCCGGYGTGGGAGCCGAGCGCTGCCTGATGCCGGCTGCGTTCATTGTGCGGCYCGGCCGTGATTACAGCGTTATGTAATTGCACAGGCGTGAGGGGGCTATTTTCGCTGGAAGATTACACGGTGAAACATGCGACAGAGCCGCGGAACCTGTGCTGCTCACACCGGGGGACAAGGGCCAGCAGAGCCGGGCCGGGCTCAGTGACAGGAGCGGGGACGTGGGGCCGAGCCACGACCCAGAGCATCCCCTTCACCCCGAAGGGTGAGGAACTCACGCCCTCCTGCAGGATTTGGGAGGGTGCAGGAGCCACCCCGGGGCAGGGCTCACCCGCAGGACCAGCACGCCCATGTGTGCCACGGCCAGGTTGATCTGGGTCCCCTCGCCGTCGCTGGCCGGGTGCGGGCGGATCCCGTACATCTCCAGCTTCCTGGCCACRTCCAGCAGCTGCGCGTCCGACTCGGCCGGCGTCTTCCCCCTGCAACAGGAGTGAGGAGGGAGATGCTGAAATGAGCTGAAAAAATGCCGTTTTGGGCACGTTTTCACGCTGGCATCACAGCCGCCCCGCTGCCAGCCCTTCCCGCTGATCAGAACAAGCGGTCAGCAGGGTTTGCGCGGCTGGTCGCGGTGCGTGCGGAGCAGCCCTCACCTGTGCCGGCGGTGGTAGTGCATGATCTTGTTGTCCAGGTACTCCTGGTTGGGCAGGTACCTGTGCGTGGCCAGGTGCTGCTGGTCCGTGTCCTCGTGGAAGTCGCCCAGCTCGGCTTTGGGGACACGGGGAGAGCGTGGGGTCAGACTGAGAGGGGTCAGTGCAGCGGGAACCCCCGGCGGCAGCGCCGAAGGCTGTCCCGGGGAAAGGGAGCTGTCCCTGGGGAAGGGACGCTGTCCCAGGAAAGGGGAGCTGTCCCCGGGGAAGAGGCGCTGTCCCCAGGAAAGGGGCGCTGTCCCCAAGGAAGGGGCGCTGTCCCCAAGGAAGGGGCACTGTCCCCAAGGGAGGGGCGCTGTCCCCAGGGGAGGGGCGCTGTCCCCAGGAAAGGGGCGCTGTCCCCGGGGAAGGGGCGCTGTCTCCAGGAAAGGGGCGCTGTCCCCAAGGAAGGGGCACTGTCCCCAAGGAAGGGGCGCTGTCCCCAAGGAAGGGGCGCTGTCCCCAAGGAAGGGGCACGGGCGCTGTCCCCGCGGAAGGGGCGCTGTCCCCAAGGAAGGGGCGCTGTCCCCAAGGAAGGGGCACTGTCCCCAAGGGAGGGGCGCTGTCCCCAGGGGAGGGGCGCTGTCCCCAGGAAAGGGGCGCTGTCCCCAAGGAAGGGGCACTGTCCCCAAGGGAGGGGCGCTGTCCCCAGGGGAGGGGCGCTGTCCCCAGGAAAGGGGCGCTGTCCCCAAGGAAGGGGCGCTGTCCCAGCAGCGCTCGCCCCCCTTACACTGCAGCAGGTGGGAGACGAGCAGCGCCGCGCTCTTGTCACTGCAGGGCAGCCGCCCCTGGGCCAGGTCCTTCTTGATCTGGAGGGTGAAGAGGTACCTGTGGAGGGGGACAGGACCATGCTTTGGGGGAGCTGGGGGCTGGGCTGAGCCACAAGGGCCGTGCCTGCTCCCGTGTCCCAACCCACAGATCTGCAGGGTCACAGGAGGAGCACCCAGCCCCTGCAGAGAGCTGCAGCTGGGCACCACCCTGACCAGCACMTCCCTGTCATTGAAATGCTCATTAGTAGATCTCAGAATTAACAATCCTTTCTGTTTCGAAGGGCATTTGCCTCTCTTGGGGCTGATGTTCTGCAGAAGCACTGTCTCGGTTTTATTTTAAGTCCCTGTTTGCAATGCTTTCTCTAAAATTGTAAGAGCTAACAATGTCATTTTTAAAAATAAAACTAAAGTTTTTCTTTCAGAACACAGCTTGAGGCAGGAGCTAGACTGAGCAGTCAGACTCAGTGCCCAACTGCTAAAGCGTTTGGCAGTAAACAAATTGCAGCCCCGTAAGACGGCTGATCCTTCAAGTGGATTGTGTTTAAAAACAGAGGATCAGGAAGAGATATTCTCTGGTTTTGTTCTGTAAAGCATAATACTTGGATAACCACTGCTCACAGACAGACTGGGGTGGATAAAGATAAAGAATTAACACATTGGAATAACAGAACTGTGTGGTAACAAAGTAAAGAAACAAGTGCTGTACCTGGTCAGTTCTTCTCTCAGGTGGCCGGGGTCCACTGGGAAAAATTTCACCATAAATTTGAAAAGAACCTCCTTAGGATCTTAAAACACAACATCTTCATAAGTTTTCTTTTACATGTCTGTTGAGAACATTTACAACTCTCTTCACACATGCTGCCTTCTTAAAGAGTAAATTAATCTGGACCCTTACAAATCAGGGATTACAGCCTGCCCCCCCAAACCAGCCTGCCCAGGCCCCCAGTGTCACCAATGGAATCAGATAGGGATTCAGATATCTAAATAATACTAAAGAGMAAATGCCCCAGCAATTCTTTAAATTGCCAAAATCCCTGTTGAGAGGGGGTTTCCATGAAGTGGTGCCAGGCAGTGTGGCCAGAGCCTTGGTGTAAATGCCATCGCTGGTGCTGTGTGTTAAACTCAGCCCTCCAAGCACTTGGGGTGCACAGGAGGCTGCTTGGGCAAAGGGTTTTTTGTGGGATGAGTGAGAGCAAGCAGCCAAGCCCAAGGCAAAGTACATGGAGGGAAGGGAGGGAGGCAATTATGCAGGCACTGACTGTCACAGAACATCCCAGGATGGCTCAGAGGGACAGGCCAGAAGGCACACGGCAAAGGAAACAGGAGCCTGAAATCATTCCACTCGTGGTGCACCCGGAAAGGGAAGGCGCCCTATCCTGCTTTCCCCTTCCAGGAATATTCATGCAAATGCTCCTGCAGCCTCCCCGTGGCAAAGAGCGGGGTCACGGCCTCAGGCTCTCAGCCACCTCCCAGCCATCGTGTACGTGGGGAAAATACCACAGGGACAGAAGGAAACCTGGCTGAAAGGGGGAAACAGCACAGGGATGAAAGGAGGGCTGTGCTGAAAGGGGAAAAGAGCACAGGGATGGAAGGAGACCTGTGCTGAAAGGGGGAAACAGCACAGGGATGGAAGGAGAGCTGTGCTGAAAGGGGGAAACAGCACAGGGATGGAAGGAGATCTGAGCTGAAAGGGGAAACAGCACAGGGATGGAAGGAGGGCTGTGCTGAAAGGGGAAAAGAGCACAGGGATGGAAGGAGGGCTGTGCTGAAAGGGGCTCTGCTTTAAACCCGGCCATGGCCATGGCAGGGGAAGCTGAGCCTGAATTCAGGTCAGGCTCTGMAGYRTCTCAGCGSGGCTGGGGAGGARCAGCAGAGCCTGCAGRGCACAGGGGTGTCCCTGCCTCACACAGGTGCCCGGGCTGCTCTGACTGCAAAGGGCAAAGGAGGGCACACAGAGCAGCGCCTGCCATGCTGCCAGTATGGCCCTGTGGGCACACAGCCACCCCTGAGCTCTGCCAAGCTGCCAGGTTATTAACAGCTCTGCCTAAAATGGTGCAGATAGCAGACTGCAAAGGCAGCAGTATTTCCACGGGATTTTGTACAGACTGAGGCGTCCTTGCAAACAATCCTGCCCAGCCTCACCCTATAAAATAATCTCAGGTAAGTGCTGGAAGCTACAGACCCCGTCCCCAAGCAACAACACTGCATGAAGGTGTCTGGGCTAGACTGTCACTGGTAGWGATTTAGAAGAATTTTATTCCTGCAATACTTACTTTTGACTTGCTTTGTGATGGGTTTTAGTGGTTCCAACCAGACCTGAAATAAGGCAATGAAGAGCCAGGTGAATAAACATCACGAGAGATGGGGAATAAAAGCAGCAGCACCATGGCACAATGCAACATGAAAATGTTGGCCAGCGTGGCTGCTGTAGCAAGTGTCCTGCTTGGCAGCCCCACAGGGATGCCCATGGACAGACCCCATGAACTGTAGATATCACTGGGGTTTGTGGCTCCCCTTCTAACTCCCATTTTCAAGGTTTTTCTGCCATCATGACAAAACTTTCTATGTAAGTTTCCCATTTGGAATTTGAGGGAGGCACCAACAATCCCCCAGCCATGCCGGCGATGACAGCACTCACCTGGTTCCCAGCCTGGCTGCGGAACTCCAGCCCAAAGTATTCCTTCTCTGCAAGGTTCAGGTGGCTGCAGGTGAGGCTGAAGAGCCCTTTCCCACAGGATTTTTGCTAGMAAACAAGCACAGCACAGAAGCAGCAGGTTAGGCAATGCTGACAGCAGCCGTGATGGGATTTCAGTGAGATGGGGAGAAATTTCAGCTCCCTGCCTTCACACTTTTCCCAACTGGGCAGCAGCAAAATCTTAATAAATGCTGTTGGCTTCAGCATGTAGAACAAACTGYTTTTGGAAACCAGATTCCTTCCCATCACTTCCCTCCTTTATTAAGGAACATAAACCAGACAAAAGAAACCTTGTTTTGAYTCACTTTTTGCAACTCTCACTGTCTGGGCAGTTCTGTCCCCGGCAAAGCAGTGAGTGATCCCCAGGAYGAGCACCTGCCTGAAGCAGGGACAGCCATGGCAAACGTGCAGAATTAGGAGCCAACGGGAGCAGAGCTCAAAGCTGTGCAGTGACTCCGTGTGCCCCGACAGCCAGGATGAGCTGCTATTATGGTTAATGGTAATTAACAGCAATGGTAATTAACAGCAACAGGACAGGGATCCTGTGCCGTGGGCTCTGAGTCATCCATGGGCTTCAGCAACATGAATTGTCACTCCATGCTGATAAGGGAGGCCAGGCTGTAGTTATTCCCATAAACAGAAACACTTGGAGGGGTTTTGCTTGACTTGTTGCCAAGCACTGTGATACAGCAGGAGAACAAGGAGGTTCCYGACCCTGCAAAATGCTCCAGAAAGCACCAGAAATTAAACTGGCAGTGACCTACCCCACAAAACCCTGATACTCCTTCATCACCTTGCAAAAAKCAGACCATGAACAAGTGTGGGTTATTGCAAAAGCAAGGGGCCAGGTTGGACAGCTGCTAAATTACAGCACGGGTGATGGAGGGGAAGGGAGGCTGCAGCTCCCAGCAGGGACGGGAGGGACCCAGCTGCTGGTGGTGATGCACACTAATAACCACCTTTCAGGGCTTCTCCTGCCATGAAATTGCCGGCTCTGCTCTGAAAGGCTGCAGAAAAGTGATAGGGTAATCACAGCATTCGCTCCGCAGCACTCCCGGTTCTCCTCAAAATTACTGGATCACAAGGGTAATTAAAACAATTATAAATGTTTAGTTCCAAGCTAGAATTTTCTGGCATGAAAGGCCTTGGCCTTTGTCAGGCAGCCAGGAAAGACAAGCATTTCTGACTGGGTTATTACCTACCACATGTCTGCTGGGAGCAACCCACTCTGCTCCAAGCCAGCGCTGCTCGGGGCAGGCACCAGGGGAGAGGAGCAGCCCCAAACCCAGGAAAAGCTGCTCWCTGCTGCTGCAGGGGCTGCTTTAGGAGCAGAGCCTTTCTCTGGCACAGTGCTGCTTGCAGGTGTCCTGTCCTGGATTTCAGGGCTGCTGCRAGCACTGGGTACAATTGTGTTCAGCAGCATCAGCCCTGCACTGCACCAGGTGGGAGAAGTCAGGGCTGTGCTGGAAGAGCACAGTGCAAGGCASAAGCATGACCTGTGGGGCTGTGTGCCCCATCACCAACCCTAAATGCACCTCTGAGAGCGATGCAGGGCCAGGTGAGCACCCACAGGCAGAAACCCCAGAGCAGGYGGTGAAAAGGAGAGGCTGCACTTGCCCTTCCTCTCCTCTGTGAAAGCACAATCAGACGGTGAGCACAAAGCCAGAGGCTCTTCCAGAGGCAGAGGGACACATGTGCAACACATGRGACACAGCCACACCACCCCTGACCCCACAGGGACTCTGGCAGCACCTGCAGTCCCACAGCACAGCCCATTTCTGCAGTGCTCCCCTGCACCCGGCTGTGCTTTGGGGCTGAGTTGGGGGATTTGCTGAGATCTTTTCTGCTGCCCTGTCAGCCCTGCTGCAGCTGGCACACAGTGCCAGGCACCAAAAGCCACCAGCCCCAAGGCTCTCTGTGCCCTCACTCCTCTGCCACCAGCCCCACATGCCTCCTGCCAAGGAATTCCCAGCTCTGCAAGGRACACAGGGCACAGGGGACTGTCCCTCACTCATCAACTGGTGTTCCTGGCCTTGTTTGGATTGTCCAGCAGCATTCCAGACAGATCCCCCCTGCTCCATGGCTCACACATGGGGTGTCCAGCAGGGATGGCACTGCAGGGGACATTCAGAGATGTGCCAGAMCCCTTCCTTGCCCTGCCCTGGGGACTCAGACCTGTCACCACAGGAGCCMCCTCCAGCACTCAGCTGAAGGAAATCCTGGGAACTCTGCAGCCCCAGCTGCCAGCAAGGACAGGGATGGAGGCAGAAACCTTTCTGGGTCAGCACCAGGAGAGGAACTTGTTCTGATGCCTGGAAATGAGCCCTTGCTGCACATGCCAGCAGCTGTGACACCACTGAGGCAGGTAGAGATGTTWACACCGAGTGTGAGGTGCTGGGGATTAGGGCCAGCTGTGTTCTCTCCTTTGTCCTTTCCCTTCCCATTATGCTGAAGTACTCCACATTCAAAAGAGCTTTCCAAAGTCAGGAGGGGCTTAGGAAGAGTTGCTTAAAATATCTGCTCAAAACTTAGCCCAAAGCAGTCCTTTTATACTGGAGAAGTCACTAATTCAGCCACTCATTTATCGTACCCACACAGCAGCAAATGCATGAAATGCCTAAAAGGGGTTTCCAATACCATTCCATGCTAAAAAAGGAAATGACCAGGAGTTCCTCTAATGGAAGCTATTTGCTGCAATAACATGTCGTGCAGAGCTATAGTGCTGTGTTTTGAGCAAATAAGAAAACAGAGATGGAATAAAACGCAGCAGCATTGTACCAGCAGCATCTTTTGAATTGTGTCTCGCTATGACCCGATCTAATCAATGGGGGGAGGAGGGGAAGGTGTTTTAAAATGACTAGCCTCATTTTTGAGCTGACTCCTGGACTAGGATAGAGTAACTAAACTAAATCAAACAACTTCCATACTGTGTCAAGCTTTATAATGCTCTATTGTGCAAAATTCTATTACAAAGACACRGAGCCATTCCCAGGCTGTGCTATGAACCACAGATCAGGACAGTATGAGGAAAGCAACAGAACTTTAAAAAAAAGCATTTTATATTAAACACTCTGGTCCCACCAGAGATGCAGGTAAGTACTAGAACAAATCTACTTGAGCTAGCTAATTCAATTAGCTACTGCAATTATCAAACCCTAATCAACAGTAAATGTCAACCACACTTGTAAAAAGATGCCTCTAACACACAGTCAGGACATCTGTACAGTTATCTATACACACATGCATAAATCTAACACCATAGATATTCATTTTTAACATCTTAAACCTAGTTCAGAGCTAGCATTTGTTAAATCTGAATTATTAATCTTTATGTGTCATAGGACAGTGCCATGCAGAAAATAATATACAGTGAGTTTTTTTCCTCAGCTATTCACAAAACCAGAAAACAGAGTTTTCTTTTTCAACTCAATGCCCAGGAAAGGATGTATGCAGATGTTTCTCACCAGGGATAATTTGGACAAATACTCTATTTTTATTCCATTCCCAGACTTTACTTCCTTGTTGAATGTTTACTCTGGCAGCCAGACAAATGAGAGAAAAACTCAACACTTGTCAGGACCATCACTTCATATGAACTGATTTACTAAAGATGACACCAGATAAGTAAAAGCCAKTCCTCCTTCATAAATAATGCCAATAACAAGGGAGAGCAGAAGCATGTTGACAAGAAGAACCCTTACCAATTAATATTATAACCTCTCATTCTGAATTTGAGGTTGGTTTTCTTGTCCATTTGCTGTTTTAAGCTGAAAACCAGAAACCATCAGAGACCATGCAACCCCTCAGAGCAACAACAACTTAATTATTAACACCAAAAAACCAGTAAGAATATGATACCCACTTACATCAACTACAAAGATCTTCTGGGAGTCATCCAGGAACTGGACTTTGAGGTGCAGCATCCTCGAGCAGGGGCTGGGTGTGCGGCAGGCACAGCAGTGCTAGCAGTGTGAGCCCTGACTCCTCTTGCACACATAATTCCCTCTCAGCTGGATGGAGAAGGCTGCAGTCACAGATGTGGAGCAGAGGCTGGAGCAAAGGAGCTGACTGCCTAAACACAGATTTAAAAAAAAAAAAAACCAACAAAACAACAAATACCTCCCCAGGTTTAAATGTCACCACTGCAATAAAGGATGTTTTCTGCCTGTGAATTATGGGTGTATTAATAGGGGGAAGATTGGCAGTTATGGGGCTGAGATAAACAGGGAGCTCTTACAGCTGTGGTGAGCAATGTGAGGGCACAGAGAGCCCACGCTGGGTACGGCAGGGTCAGGGGAGAAGAGCTGAGCATTGCTCCTGCCAAAGCCACCCAGCAGCCACTGTCACCTCTGCTCTTCTCTGGGACAGCAACTCCATGGGGTGGGCAGAGCACACCCTGTCCACTGAGGCACCGTGGATGGGCTGATGTTCTTCACCAGAGACTGGGAAATGTTTCCAGCTGGACTGGAAACCGGCCACGAGTCCTTCCTGGAGAGGCAGAAAAGAACCTGCTCCTAATTCCCATCTTGCACACTGGTTGAGCAGCTCAGGGCATCTCACAAGCCTTTGAGACAAGCTGGTTCCCACTTCAAATCTGAAAAGCTCACATCCCCACCGAGCAGCTCATCCTCGGGGTGCCAGAGGCAGCTGCCCATCCTGAGATCCCCAGGGAGAGCCCAGTTTGGTGTGCTGGGTGCCTGGGGACATTCGTGGGGGTCCCAATGAGCTGTCTGAGCTCTCTGGACCCTCTCACCCATCACAGACCCCTCACGGGGTTTTTGGGTGAAGGCAGCCCCCACTTCCAGAAATGAATGCACTGAGCAGTGCCAAAGGCAGGCACTGGACTGWCACAGGGGGTCATTATTGCTGCTGCTGGAAAACATCACAACCACTCCACTGATCCTGTGGGACCCAGAGCAACAGAAACACAAGAGACACACAACAGAAACAACAGAAACGCAGCTCAGCAAACCAAAAAAGCCACATTTAGTGCTGCGAAGACTTTGCTTGTTGCTCCCTTGTCTGGTTCTACTGAAACTTCCTCTCCAGACAGTTTGCCATGCCTCTCTTACACTTCCCAGATATTCCTGGGGATGTCGGGACAGATCCTTGTCATCTGGGGTGCAGAGAAGAAAACCAYAGAGCTTTTTAGCCACAGACAAGTGCATGTCTTCTGCTAACCAGGATGAAAAGAAGGCTGAAAGTCAAAGCCAACCTTCTTCTCCACGTGAGGCTGCCCCACAAAGCAGCACTGCCAGGAGGGGATGGCTGTACCCCTTGTGCCAGCACTGCATCAAGGACCAAATTTCCCCTGGCCCCAGGCTCTGAGCTCTTTGTGTCACAGAAGAAGGGCAGCATCACGTACAAACCATCCGGGGGGGCTGAGWGCACTTTTCCTCTGCAGTTTAAAATGTTTGTGCTGTCAAATATTGACAGGCACCAAGGAAAGGAGCAGCTCTCCTGTGAGTGGCTCTCAGCAAGCACAGCTCTGCTCTGGGAGCACGGTGGGGACACTGGACTGGCAGGAAGGATGGATGGGGACACAACAGAGGAGCCCCAAAGCCYGGGAGAAGCCAAGCCTGTCTGCACCAAGCCTTCCTGGCATAGCTGGGGCACTGACCCAGGGCTCCAAGGATGCTGGGCACCGGCCAGTCGGGTTGTGGGCAGAAGAAAAGGGTTTATTTCACTACCCTGCCATGAAGGAAGAAGGCTGTGTTGGGTCAAACAGGACCTCTGGCCATCCTATAAAACCATGGAGACAGCACGGAGCCAGCAGCAGCAAACAGGATCAMACTAGGTAAACAAGATGTTTTTTGCATAGGATACTAAAGGACAGCAAGGAGATGTGTGGGACAAGCAAGGTTTGCTTGGGACATGGAGGCTGTTGCTGTCTGAACAGCTGAGAAACCTTTTTTACCCCCACCTATCTTCTTCTGGAGGCGACTTTGGGGCCAGCCGGAGCAGCACACAAAGGGAGCACCAGGAGTAATCCCAGCCCTGGCCTGAGTCAGTGCCAAAGTCCAGCCTGGTATGTATGTCCTCCTTTTCTGCAGGGGCAGGGAATAACGTGAAAATGGGGCAGGAAAGCACAGAACCCATGAAGGGCAGGCACAGCCACAGGGGGAGGTGGGGAGGGGACCCYGAGCAGCAGCACCAGAGAATCACAGGGGCTGAGCAACAGCTTGTTGGAGTGGGTTCTGCTTCAGGGCTGCTTCCTCAACCAGCTTAGCCTTTGATTTTAAATACTCTGGACCTTGCTACCACCATTCTGGGTTGCACCAGCTCTCCCAGGAAGGAGTTTATTCCACTGAGTGCACCTGTATTGGGCTGGATGCATTGGTTCAGGGTCTTTACACCCTCTCAAATTCCCTGCAGCTTGCTGGGATGGACTGAGCAGAGAGCAAGAAATAAGAAGTCTCCTTCCTCCCAAACCCTGTTGCCCCTTTTTCCAAGGAGAATACTCACCTGGATGTTTGGGGTTTTCTCCTTCCCTGTTGGTGCCGGAGTGAGGGCAGCCCCAGGACATGGCAGAGCTGAGCTCTGTGGCTGTGCCCTGCAGAGCCTCCCGGAATGGTGAGCCATTGTCACGGGCAGAGAGGGAGTGCAGCTCCAAGCCCCTCCCAGGGGATTTGCTCTGGGCCTGGGGACAGGCAAGGAAATGGCCCAAAGCTCATCAATGCCTCCTGAGAGAGGAGCAGGCTGTGAGAGAACAAACTCTGGCACAGAAGGGGTGTACACTGCTCTCCTCTGTGTCACGTTTATCTCCAAATCGGGTTTAGAGGGTAAGAAATGAAGATGGATAGATAGAGCCATTGAATAAAGACCTGCCAGGGGATTTAAACACCACAGCCCAAGAGGCAAGAACCCACACCCAGCTCGCTGCTGAGCAGGCACAAGTGCACACTCGAAATGCCAGACAGGCTCACCCAGGTGGACTTTGGTCAGCTGTGACCTTTGGAACACTCACATTTCAGCTCCTCTTCMTCAGCTGGAGCTGCCAGGAGAACATCCACAGTCCTTCCTCACCCAGCCACAACTCCTGCAGCTGCAGGSCCAGGGAGCAACACAGACCTTGCTGCATCACTGGAGCAGGCTCTGCACAGCCAAAGCCCTTCTGAACAGCTCCAGGCACACAACAGGATATCYCAGCTGGTTAATGAACCCAAGGCATGGCCCCAACACTAAAAACAGCGACATTTCTTTCCTGAATAGGGTTTACACCACATTCCTGCTGCCACACCAGGAGGAATGGCTTCATTCTCAGCTGGTGTCCCAGCTTATGCACAGTAATTGCTTTAAATTTTTTGTAAAATATTACCCCAAAAGAGTATTTTCAAAAAAACAAAGCCTGAAAAAATTGAGTTTGTTTGGTTCAAAAAAAGAAGAAAGATGGAACAACAATCACCTGATTGATGCAGGGCCACTGCAGAAGAATGGATCAGCTGTGTTCCCAWGCTAAAAAGAAAACTCAGAGTTTGCTGGAAATTGCAGGGAAGATCTGAGTTAGGTCCTGGGAAAGATCCTTAAATTGTGAGGCAGGACAAATACTGGAACAGGCTGGAAAAGCCAGGGTTGATGTAAACACGCCTGTTAGGGACAGTCCAGGCACATGGCCCTGCCTTTAAACCTTTAACAATGATCATTGTTTTACATTTACTCCACAAATCACATTATATCTTGGAGATCTCAACAATTAGAGCTGACTCACCATGTCCTGCCCTTCTAAAAACTTCTGCCCCAAAACTGTTCTTCTATTTACTGAATACAATAAACAATGATACATTTACATTTTCATCAAATTTTGTTTGCCAACCATCAGCTAAATAATCTGACATCACTGTGCTGAAACTCATTACTCATAAATAATCGTTGGGAAAATGGAAATAGTTGCATTTTTTGTGTTTAGGTGGGGTTCACCCATTAGCTTCCAGCTGCAGGATAACATTCTCTGACCAGTATTTTGGTATCAGGTGACATTATGCAGCAGCATTTTCCTCTCCAGTTTGCCCCAGTCCTACCCAAGGTAAGATTAGTGCATAATCCCATGCTCAAGGAATCATAATCATATCAAATCTTATTCTTGTGATTATATTTTTATTTCAGCTTCAGCAACTAAKAGGCTCTTTTTACCTACCTGCAATAACAGAGTGGGAAATCTCAAATAACCTTGATTCTGCACTAAAGACTGCAACACCACTGCAATTCCAGACATCTGAGACAAATTAATCCTAAGTGCAAAACTTGCCCTGAGTCCCAGCACCCTGAAATATAAAATTATTTCCATTTCTGTTCTGTTTTCAACTGTGTTTGACTCACTGTGTACCTGGAATTTGGTGTGCCTTGGYAGGACTGAAGTGTTATSAGGGTCTTTWSTGGAAGAATAAAAGGGAAAAAAGGAGTGAGGAAAGYGAGCACCGCCCAACTCTGAGCCAGRCCCTCCCAGGACAAASCACTCGCTGTTTCCACGCTCCCTCTCGTGGTGTCGGTGGTGCCCCACACCAAAACCAGGAGAAAACTCGGTGTGCAGGATTTGGKGTCCAGCAATCACAATTCCAACGTGCATCCATGGGTATTGCTGTCTSTCCCTCCTTTTTCAGATTTTACATGCTATGTAAAAACTATTACAGGACTGCAGAAGGCAGCTTGCTGCGAGCAAATGCAAATGACTGCACAAGAAAACTAAATACCACCCTGACTCTGGTGATAGCCAGACCACTTCACCTCATTTTTAAYATGCCAGTTGCACTCTGTTGTTGGCACAGCTACATGAAAAGCACTCTGTGATGTTTAATTCAAACAGGTCACTTCCARGACACAAGAAAGCAATTTATACAGAAAGAGAAAGCCTCATAAATGTATTGAATCAAAGGAGCACTGATGCCTCCCAGGATTTGGGCATCTCACAGCATTCAGTGATTTCTAGCTTGGGAGATGCACATCACCATGCCCTTGCAGCACTGCACAGCACTTTTATTTTTTGCTGTCCTTTATTTTTTCACACATGTTGTTGCTGGGTCACTTGCTGAGCATCAGGAAGGATCCTACAGCCAACAGCTTAGTCTGGGGAAGCTGGCAAACTGAGTCAGCAATGCCAGTGAAGGGGCTGAATCCTGGTGGAAAGGATGGAGTTCTAAGGAACTACAGAGCTCATTTTCATGACAGAGCTGGTTTCCCTCTTGGTTCAAGACACCTAACTCTGGTTGAGCAAGCCTTGATTACAAAGAAACACACATTTTCTGCAGACACCTCCAGGCCAATGGATCAGACCCGTTCCACCATATGGATCTTGATTCTGAGTTTTATTAACAACTCCCTCCCAGGTAGCTTCTCTTTCCTCACTCMTTTTTTCCCTTTTATTCKTCCTCAAAAGACCCTCATAACACTTCAGTCCTACCAAGGCACACCAAATTCCAGGTACACAGCTCACAGCAGAGGGGAAGGCGTGTCAAAGCCACTCTTTACAGCAGGCAGTGGAGGACAAGAGAGCAGCAGCCACCTGAAGCTGGAGCTTGGTACTTTTGTAGTGATCAAAGGTGATCCTCACTTCATGGCTCCTCTTCCAGGGCCATCTGYGGGGTGGTGGCAGCTACAAGACAGACATATTTCCAAAACCAGGAAACATTCCTACATTGTGACTGTCCCAAGGCCTCAGGAGTACATTGATGAAACCTTTCTAGATCACTAAACTGAGCCCCAAGATAGAGCCACTCGGTTGGCCTGAGCTCCTGTGCTGACAAACACTTGACATCACAGACAGCTGAAAGGAAAGGACACCTGAGCACTTCTAACCACAGCTTGACACCGGGCAGACCCTGCAGCTAAAACCTTTCTTCTAACCTATTAAAACATCTGCATTACTGAGATTATACCCAGAGCATTTGGCAAGGCTGTGCTAATTCCTGGAACAAGGAATGGAAAATAATGACAGGATCAGTAATGTGACTGTGGTCAGAGACACAGCGCTGCAAGGGACTTCAGAGATCCCATTTGACAGCAACACACAGAGGCAGGAGCCTCACACACCCCCTCCTCCAGTGGTTATCCAATATCATCTCTGAAAAYCCTCCACCATCCCACAGAGCTGCAGCTGGCTTCAGCACTTACCTGTGCTCCGTGTGCTCTGTGCTCTCTTTTTCAACATAAATCAGCTTTGCTGAAAATTCAGTTAATTTCTTCTTGTTTTCCCACAGAAGCCAGGCTGTTGGTGATTACACAATCACTATTAATTTGAAGAAAAAGGGTCTAAGATCTATCCCAGCTGTAGGATGAATCCCAAGGTGATGACTGATCATCCTATCTGCCAGTTCCCAAATAGACAAGTGGCCCTTAAGGAATGCCACAAACAGCAAGTAAGTGCATTTTCTCTGTTCTGGGCTGATCAAACAATTTAAACCTAATGTTAAAGTAAATCTACTAAGGACATAAAACTATATGAACTAGTAAGCCTAGCAGTGGGAAAAAAGAAACAATTTCTGGAAGAGCCAGGAATTTCCCAGAAAGCTGATTTTTTGGTTTACTGAGTTACAGTCATAAATCAATTATGCCCTTCAGTAGAAGCATAAGTCTTAAAACTGAACCAGTAATATTGTAGCCTCATAAATGTATGAAAGATAGCAATCCTTTTCATAAATCTGATAATTTTTCAACTTTGTTATTTAAGTTCTAGTCCACTTATTTATTTACATGCAAGAAGTCCAATTTCAAAATTATTCTACAACGCTGGTGCATCTGATTCCAAGCAAGTCCAAGCACCTCCCAATCTCTGACACACCCTTTCCRATATGCCCCCAGGAGAAAAGTGCTACAGTTATGATTTTTCTTGCCAGGCAAGAACAATTGAGGTCACTCAGTAACTGGCAGTGTCATGGAGTATCAAATCCCATGCAAGACTAATCACTGGAAATATGCTTAGGAGGAAGTAAAGCACTGCTGGAGAGCTGTCACAGCACACTCAGACTGAACCAGCAGAACACCAAGGAGCACAGACATGCCACAAACCAAACAAACAGCAAAGCCTCCCCTATGAGTATTTCACAGGTCCCTGCAGCATGAGACTCTTTCCTATCAATTATTGCAGTTATTGCTCCAGACCTTTGGGTGGGACTTGAGGAGAACCTCAGCTTTGAAGGAGAGCACCAGAGGAGAGTAATTTCATTCTGTACTAAATACACTGTTTCTGCAGACAAGTTTCATCCCCTGCAATCAGGCAATCAGCACTGCCACTGCCAGCCAAGCTCAATGCTGCCCTCAGCAGCACCGACAAACCACTACAGTGTGACACCACACAGCTCAGAGTCCTTCTCTGCTCCTGCCAGCTGCCCCGACCCGGCAGAGRTAAAAACGGCTACGTAAAACACCCGAAACCCACGTTATTTCACTTTCAGAGCGCAGCACATCAGGCCACGTCACGTCCCGGCAGAGGCTGCCCGCAGCTCCGGGMGCTGCTGCTGCTGCGAGCGGTGACACACCCAGCCCAGGACAGCCAGCAAAGGCAGCTCTGGCTTCAGCACAGACAGCTCCCAGCTCAGCACACACTGCTGGGAACCGGGGTGTCATYTGAATTGACACCAGACACTTGCACCTCGTTTCACACTGATTACAGCCCAGCCTCCTGGGGCAGATGCCAGCGTGTAGCTGCACACGAGGTGTGGCYGGCGGTTCAGCCTCCACCCTCGCAGGGTCTCTCTGTCCCCAYTKYGGGGTTTGTGGGGCTGTGGGTTGTARCCCAGCACACCCTGCTGGGCTGCAGGACCCAGCTCTGCCCTGGGCAGTGGCACAGTTACGTGTCACCCGTGCTGGGTGGGGACAAAGCCTCTTGCCTGTGCTGCACTTGGCTCCTGCTCTCTGATGGCTCTGGGGTGGCATCCCTGTCCTCTGGCTGCACAGAGGAAGCAGGACACTGGGAGATTTCTGAGGGCAGCTGTATAGCAGGAATTGGTACACCAAAGAAAAAGCTGCCATGAAACACTACAGAAACAGCCCCAAAACCAGACAGAGCTACATGCCAGTGCCACACCTATTTAACAAAGGATGCTACACAAGTCTGTACAGCAGCAATCCAGCTTGCTCTCAGTATCAAGACTTTTCAAAGATAATACCCTTAAATATGAATCTTACATGCTTTCTTAAAACCCCCCAACCCAGCCTGTATTATACCATTACCTGGAAACAAAACAGCAGTGTACGTTTACTTAGCTGTACTCGCATCATTTCCCGACCTCCGAGAGGAAACGGGAAGCAGCTTCCTCAGTTACACTGAGGGCCATAAGGAACTGGGAGTATTATTGCTGAATTTCTTTTAAACCACATGAGAAATCAGACTCAGACAGTGGTGAACCCACTAGTTACATCTCAAAGCAGACAGGCCCTAAAGTGTCAGCTCCCATCCTCAGAGACACTGAAGAGAACAGGGAATGCTCCAATCCCACCCCCCAGCCAGGTTAGGGAAGCAGACATTTCACCCAAAATCATTTAGAAGAGCACTCTGCTCTTTTCTATCATTTTCTTCTTGAGATGGAAACTAGTTCATTATTTCAGCAAAGGAAGTGTGAGCAGGAAGAAGAAACAGCAGAAATCTACCTACAAGATAAGGCWAACGCTGTTTCAGCTGGAGGAGGGGTGGTGAGCAGGCTACGTGGTTTTGCCTGTTGACACATCGCTGAGGACTGAAGGTACCAAGATACCAAATTTTTCTCAACTTGAAATCACATTTTACATTAATGCAGAGCTTTAGTTACAAACACAGTGCCAAAGGTCAGTGCCAAGACTGTTCATCCTGAGGAAGATGCACTTTTTGTTACAGGGCCCAGATGACAATCACTGACTTGGCAACTTTAGAGCTTTTACTGAGCATTTAAGATAATTGTTAYCAAATAGCTTTGGGCACTTTGGTTTTCTGGAAAAATCTTGTGCCTCTCCTGTGGCAGAGCTCCAGGAGCACTCACTCTGCCAGGGTGGGGGAAAGATGTCAGCTCTGGCTGCAGGGCAGCTACAGAAAATGCAAGGTGATGTCAGGACTCAGGGCCATCTTCACACACAAAGCCTGTATGGAAACAACAACGTTAAAGATTCACACAACACAGATTTCTTTTGAACAAAGCTCCCTCCATCTCACTGGCCTGTGAGGAGGCTGCTCTGAACTGGCCCCAGCTCAGCCAGTGCCTGCCTTGCACAGGAAGATGATGCACAGCCCTTGCTCTCCCCTCTCTCCTCAGAGCACCCATGACCTTGAGCCCTACATCTGGCTGGAACAGCTGTGCACCCTGCTCCCCCATACCAGGACTCAGTCAAGACAATTTAGATGTGGTTACATTTAGAATAACCAGGACCTCAA